ACTTCCATAGTTGGAAGTCACGCATTATCAAAACACAGGATCTAAGAAGTCATCATTTAGAGGAGAATAAAAGCGTAGAGGATAGAAAGCTTTAGCTGTGTGACAAAATTAGTTTACTGAAGACAGTGTGAGAGCAAAGCTGTTTTCATAGCTGTAGTAGTAGAGCTATGAAATCTCAGTGTGGCTTGATTGGCTCTGGCTTTTGCTCAAGAGTAATTGTCTGTCTGTGCGTCTGTCTGTCTATCACGGGTCTCACCACTTTCAGTACCTTTAGGATTCGTAGTCTCATGGTTTAGCAGACAAAGCATTAATCCACCCAAAACCAAGTGTCTGGGCTGTGACCTGTCTGCAACCAAGAGCAGTTCCCAGGGGTCCAACTTGTGCTTTCTAGTTAAGCCATTTTGTGATAGCCAGTTCTAGCTCCGAGTTTAAACACGGAGGGTAAAACGCCTGAATTCTCAGCGTGGTCTGGCCGTGGTAGCTTGGAGCTGTCACTTTGCTTGTTCTGAACCTTATGCATCAGGAATTCAGCTCAGGATCTCATGAGTCTGCATAGCGGCCTCACTGTATAGATGCCTGTGGAGTGTGTCTTCAACCAAAATCAATGTCCCCATAACAAAACCTAAACCAAATTACACCCCTGACTATACTAATAGTGCCCTACTCTGCCACCCTAGGGATGGAAGAAGCATGCCCTTTTTGAACTATAAATATCATTTATCTTGGTAACTAATACCTCAAGGTGTAGAACTTGATGAAAATCTATGCATCACACAAAAAAACAAGGGAAAATAAAAGATGAAGATACAAAATACAGTACCAGATTCAGAGATGGCTCAGATATTGGAAGTATCAGCAGGTAATTTCAAATAACCACAGTTAGCATATTAAAGGTCTAGTGGAAAATATCAATGATATGCATGAGCAGATGAGTGGATGTCAGTAGAGGGATGAAAATGATAAGAGACCTTCAAATAAAAATGCTAGAGATAAAATCTTCCCAAGTTTGGAGACTGGGAGGTCCTTTAAATTGGCTCCTCTATCTTTTTGGAATTACCTGACAGCCTTTGATAACATTCATCTGTTTTGACAGAAGCCCCAGGGTGTCTTTACATTTTCTGGCAGACTATTTCCCAAGAAGTCCTGGTTTCTTTTAGTAAACAATGGTACTGATGTGCCAGAGATCCTGGATGTTAAGAACTTGAATTGGGTGTACTTGTATAAGATTACTCCCCCACAGTCAGCGTACATTTACAACTGTATAGCAGTATGTCTGATTCAAATTCTTTATTTTTTTTCTAAGTAGTTCAGGCTGATTTTGAACTTGCAATCATCCTGCGGCAGCCTCTCAAATGCTGGGATTACAGGAATATTATAACTATATCTTCTTTTTTCCATACTAAGAACCTTGGTTCTCAAAAAAAAAAAAATCAGATGAATTAAAATATAGCCCTATGTTGTTTTACCATGTGCCACTTTATTGCACTTTGGTGATAGTGTGTTTCTTCCTAATTCAAGATTTGTGGCAATCCTGGGTCAGATGGGTCAATTGGCACCATCTACCCAATGACATGTGCTCATTTCACATCTCTGTGTCATGTTTTGATAATTCTCACAGTGCCTCAAACTTTTAAATTACTATGTCCATCATGGTGATCTTTACTGTTCTGATTTTGTCTTGGGGCCCCACAACCTGCACCCGTGTAAGATGGTGAACTTATTGCTGTGTGTTCTGATGGCTCCAGCATTTCTCCATCTCTCTTCCTTTGCCCAGGCCTCTCTACTTTCTGGGATGCAACAGTATTGAAATGAGGCCAGTTAATAGCACTGCAATGACTAAGTGTTCAAGTGAAAGGAGGAATCTCAGGTATCATTTTAAATCAAAGGTAGAAATGATCATGCTTACTGAGGGGATGCTTGTTAGTAGCTGAGGTAGGATGAAAGCTAGGCCACTCTCTTGTGCTAGTTGTCCAAGTTATGAATACAAAGGAGGGGTTCTTAAAGGAAATTCAAAGTGCTACTTCAGGAGATTTATGTATGATGAAAAAAACCAAAGAGGCTTCCTACTGATGTGGTGTGAGTTTTACTGATGTAGAGAGATCAAACCATCCATACCATGCCTTTAAACCAAAGTCTAATCCAGAGCAAGGCCCTAAGTCTTCAATTCCATTAAAGTTGAGCGGTGAGGAAGCTGCAGAAGAAAAGTCTGAAGCTAAGAGAGGTAGATTCAAGGAGTTTAAGGAAAGAAGCTGGCTTCATAGCATGAAAGTGCAAGGTAAGCAGCAGATGTTGATATAGAAGCTGTGGTTATCCAGAAAACCTGGCTAAGATAACTGATGACAGCGATTACACCAAACACCAGATTTTCAAATCTTTACTTAGCTTTTACTTAGCAGAAGATACCATCTAGGACTTGACTTTATAGTTACAGGGCACAAGTCAATGCCTACACTTAAAAGGCAAGCTGTTATTGGGGCTGAATGCCACTGTCATTTCAAAATATTACTGCTTATTGACAATGTACTCAAGTCAACTGAGCTAAGCAAAATGGCCAAGATCAATGCTTCATGTCTGCTAACACAACAGCCATTCTGCAGGCATGGTCATGAGTAGCATTGAACCCAGAGCCTTGCATGTGAGGCGTGCACTCCCCCCCCCGCCCTTTGACATAGGCCTAGGGTCTAAGTTGCCCATGCTGGCAAATCTGCAATCCTCTGCTTCAGCCTCCCATATAGCTAGGATTACAAGCATGTGCCAACACACCCAGCTGATTTTAATTTTGAAAGCATTCTGTGTATAAAATGCTACCAAATAGCACTGCAAGGTAGGGAAATCTTTCACGAAAGGAAGTCACTCAATGCAGCAAGCAACATTGACATCTTACTTCAGTTAGTTGCCATAGCCATTTCAACCTTCAGGAACTACCACCCTGATCATTTAAGGGGAATCATGGTAGGTAAAATATGTCCCACCATATTTTTCCAATTAAAGTTAAGTATTTTAGCATAATGATAATTGGCTGTGTGTCTCAGTAATTGTGCTGGGGGGGAATACTGAAAGCAATCTTTGTGTTTCCTCACTTGGTACAATGAATGGCAAGGTGTGTGCACATGTATCAGTGTAAATGGGTGAGTTTTGTCCATGTTACGCAGTTACATTTTTGTGTATTTATAATTTTTTATTACATGTTTTTTCTTTTTTTCTTATAGAATTAGCTCAATTCTATGTCACATGAAAATTCACTTTTACAACTTTGGGAGGAGATTGAAAATGAGTCAAGTGATTCAGCTACTGATGATGACTTGGATCATATAAGCCAAAGCAATTAGCAAGATATGACAGAGAAGTACAGAATGAAGACCTTGGTTCAGATGAAGAAAACAGTAATGCAAATAAAAATATATTTATTATGACATCTCACTATCTGAACTAAAAGCCTTCATAGCACAACTTTATCATTCTAATTATCAGCATCTAAAGGATTTATGGAGAAGTGACAGATGTGGCATTGTCAAGCAATTTATACATGGTCTGAATGCATGACAATTGACAACTTGCATCATTTTGCGGTTGTTGAAAGTTTCAGTAATATATGCCAAGTAAACTTTCCAAATATGGTATAAAAATATATGCCCTGGTGGATATAGACATTTTATACCCTGAATTTAGAAATTTATCCTGAACTCAGTCTCCAGGCCTTTCCTCATGCAGTACTAAACCATATGACACTGGGGTCTGTAAGTTCTTCAGCCTTCAGGCAGGCCTGTTGCCCTCACCCACTGGAACTGGCAAAGGCCCTGCCAACTTCAAATTCCTCAACTTGCTCCTTTGAGTCTGGGTCCTCTAGTAGGCAGAGGAACTTGAATGTCTCCATTTACTGAGCCCATTCAGAATTTTTCTTGTTGGCTTCTGCTGCTAGAAAAACCATTTTAAAAAGTGCTTTGAGAGATCATTTACTCCTCATCCATTGGTTTCCTTGTCCCATCTCCCTGTCCATTCTGTTAACCCTTGTGGATTTATGGCATTTTGTTCATTTCCTTACATTTAAGTGGCATTTTAAATAAGCGAGGAGACAAATATGTGTGCACAATGTCTGATTCACTTTTTCCTGGGTACTGGGGACTGAGCTGAGAACCTTGCGCTTGCGAGGCAGGCACCACTGAGCTAAATTTGCCTATAGTAGCAAACATTTACAGGGAATCCAAATCTGCTTTTGTTCTTTGGACTAGGCCTTTTCCAGATTGAGTCTCTTTCTTAATTGAAAAGTTAATATGCTCTGGTCCTTTTCTTTTATCCTGTTTATTACAAATTCCTTTATTGCTTTCTTGTCATTCCAGATCTTCATGTGTAGGCCATTCTCTTTCCAGGCATCTGTCAATTTTTGTAGAGTATGCCTGTCATGGACCCTATAGTGTTAGGGTTTTATAGTGTGGAGGGTACTAGTTTCAAATAGATGTTAAGGAATTTTCAGTCCACACTCAAAATACATGAAGAAAACCTGAGGCTGTTCTGAAGTTTGAAGAATATTAATGACACAAGAAATAGTTCCTGGACCGGGGATTTAGCTCAGTGGTTCTGCTGCCTGCCTCGCAAGCGCAAGGTCCTGAGTTCGATCCCCGGTACCCAAAAAAAAGAGAAATAGTTCCTTTACATGAGGCCGAAAACAACTGTCCTTTGCTGTCAACCTATGACCAGCCAAACTCTTCGGGAATAATGGAACACAGCTGCATTTGGGTAATGATCTTTAACCTTTCAACCGTCCCTCCCATCACAGCAACTCTATTTTCAAGTCCACAGAGATGATGGACAGGGAAAGCAGCAGGAAAAATCTAAAGCCTGGAGAAACAGTGATTTCTTCTAGCATAAAGACTATAGAATTGTGGCTTTCCATTTACCATCTTATACTAGACATCACACAGATCTTTAGATTTTCATCAACTCCAGAGGATTTGCCCAATTAAACACTAAAACTTCCAAAAAAACCATCAAAGACAAAATTATTCTCTTTAGCTTTTTATGAAAATATAAAAAGCTGAGTGAAACAATTATGCAGTTAACGTCATACAAAATACATTCTAGTTTTAAAATGTTGTCTAAGAACAAATCTTTCAGGCTGGTAATCGCCTCACTTCCAAACAAGGAGTTCCAATTGATATAATCTTCCAGAGGACAGCAGCCTCCCAGCAGTCCGTGTTTATTGGAATATTGCTCTCTGAACATGGGCACATTCAGGTTTGTTAAATATATCCTCTTCTGCTTCCGGAGTTAGCTGGATGTTATCTTTCACTGGAGACAGGGGCTTTTTATAAGAAACAAGCTTTTCAGAATCTCTGCAAAATATAACAAAGTAAATTTGGTGCTTTTAGGGTACTGAATATTAGAGAAGAAATAATCTACTTGGAAAAAAACCCCATAGATACATATAGGAACGGCTATCCCCTTTAGTAAAAGATCTGTCTCAATTCATTATGGAACACATTCAGGTTTTCTCTGAGTATTTCAATAAATTTAAAGTTTTACTACTTAGTGTCTCTTCTTACTTTTAAAATCACCCTTCAATATAGGTGCTGGGCCACTACTAGATATATACTAGCTAAGACAAAAAGACTCCAGTAAAGAAATTTTAATTCTTTCCTCTCAAGTCTAAGAACCAATATAAGTGAAATGAACTTTTGGTTGAATCTTATTTTTTTTACCTCCTGCCTTTTTTGCTGGAAGGAAGTTCTATGTCCATAAAAATTAATCCTATTATGATAGGACAGGTTATTCTGCCTCCTGACAACAAACATGAAACATCAGTCTTATTTTCTAAATGGCATCTAAGAATACTATTGTATCCTTAACTTTCTTCTAGCATCAGTTCACAGTATCTTCCATGCAAGAACTCCTGGAGGTTTTCAAGTCCCTTTTAGGGTGTTTGTAATACCAAAACTATTTTCATAATAACATTTAGACTTTATTTGGCTTCTCCACTGTGCTGACATTTGTATTGATGATGCTAAAGCAGAACTGGGGAGAGATGCCAGCAACTCTGTATGAATTAAGACAATAACAGGCATAAAGCCAGGTGTGGTGGTGCATGGCTGTAATCCCAGCACTTGAGAGGCTGAGGCAGGAAGATCACCTCAAGTTCAAGGCCAACCTGGGCTATGTAGTTTAGACCAGCCTGCCAACCTGAACTACACAGTGAGACCCTGTCTTAAAAAAAAAAAACGGGGAAAAAAAAGGGAAGCAGCACATATAAAACACTTGTGTTGTGTACCACAGTAGGTGGTTATCTAAAGTAAAAATGTGTGACATTATGGTCATTCAAATTTAGGGACTTGGTAAAGGACTTCTCTAAAATGAACAGAGATGGCCAGTTATTTCAAAAGAAGTAACTCACAGTACTTGTTATCAACGATATCATTCAAGCAAAACTTAGAATTTCAGAAAACTTGTACCTGCCACTTGATATTTTCCAATACTTGAGACTACTGATTATGATTTTTTTCCCTTATAAAATACAACTCATGACATAATGTTTCCACATCAAAGTAAAAGACCCATTGAAAATGCACTAGTGAGCCAGGTGTGGAGATGCATGCCTGAAAGGCTAAGGCAGGAGGGTCTAGGGAGCCTAGTATGAGCAACTTAGTGAGACCTGCCTCAAAATCAAAAAAATAAAATAAGAAAAACGACTGAGGATGCAGCCCTGGATTCCATTCCCAATACTTAGAGAACGAATGAAAGAAAGCAGAGCTTATTTTATTTTATTTTATTTTGGTACCGGGGAATCAAACTCGGGACCTAGTGCTTGCGAGGCAGGCACCAGAACCACTGAGCTAAATCCCCAGCCCCTAGGGCTTATTGAACTCTGGTATAATAGCAAAGAAGAAAATAAATAATTATCTAATGCATATCCGAAATATACTCTTTCCAAATGCAAATATGTGTGGGGCTATGTATCCTTCCTGTACTGTACTTTAGCCAAAATGACATGTCATAACAGATGAAATGCAGAAGGAGATATAATAATTCAGCTGAGTTCTATTAAGCCAAACAAAAACTTGTAGTGTGAAACATTGCCAATCTTCCTATTTTTTTTGTTTTGGAAAAGATAACCATTTTTCATAAAATTTTACAGTATTCATATGTAATGGGCCCATTATTATTTTAAAAATGGAAATTATTTAAATGTCGATTTTCATTTCTAAGATGGTGAGAAGTGCTGACAAATACAACTCACATAAACTCGAGTGTTTTCAGGCTTTCAGTAATTTTTAAGACTATAAAGGAACCTGAGCTGCTGCTGTATGAATTTAATCCTAAACTTTGCATAAAGGAAAATAAGAAACAATTGTCCAGTACTTACTTATTTACAAAGTGTTCCCTATCATACTAGCTCATCTGACTGTGACAATATTTCTATTAAATAAGGTTTAATCCTATGAGCCCATGCAAGTTAAAAAAAAAACTCATTAAATTTAACACTTTGCTCTATTAAGAAATGTAAGAAAGTAAAGTATTAAATTGATGCTGCTTTGCAGCTAGTTCTGAAGTCTAACAGAAGGAAGTTTGTGGTTAAAAAAATAGGTATATACAGGATCATTTTTTTTTTCCTAGTTTTTTGAAACAGGGTATTGCTGTGTGGTTCAGGCTGGCCTTGAACTTGTGGAGATCCTCCTGCTTCAGCCTCCTCAGGTGTGCACGATGACAGGTATGCACCACCTTGCCTGGCTAATACAATATCAATTTTACTTTTGAATCAGGGACCAAACTCAGGACCTTGCGCTTCTGAGGCAGGTGGCGGGACCAATGAGCTAAATCTCCAGCCCAATTTTTTTAAAACAATGTGTGCTGCCTACACTAGAAATCTGGCAAATTCGTTACATAAAATCAGCAATTCTCCCCATTCTGGATGTGATAATTTAGGGAAATACAATACAGCACTACTGCCTTTACCTGTCTAAAACTATTCTCATCACAATTCTAGGACATAAGAATGAAAGAAAGCTGAGATTTTTAACACCTAGAAAAGTAACAGGCTTCACAGGGGGACTCCAAAGCTAGACTGAGGATCAATGCTGAATCAGAAATTGATTCACATGAAACTAGAGACTGGAGTTGGGAGAAGGGAACAGGAATTACTGAAAAGAAGTCAGAGTAGGAACGAGGCAACTCACTTTTTAAAACCAAAATTTTTCCAGAGCTCATTGATTTTTATCTGTAAACCTGGCTTGTTCTCGGCATTGCGATGATTTCTCCTCTGGATGCTTGCTGGCTTCCTGCTCAGCCCACTGACTCTGGCAGGAACCAGAGCTTTGATCTTGGTGGCAGAAAGACAGTCCACAGAACTAGATTTACTTAGCCCAGGAACCTGAAGAGTAAACATCCACTTTAATAATACTCTATCAAAGCAACTATCTTTAGTTAACTTCAAAGTATTCTTTACACATTGGAACAGAAAAATAACCCATAAGCAACATACAAAAAGGTGTTATTTGGCTGGGGATTTAGCTCAGTGGTTTCGCCGCCTGCTACACAACTCAAGGACCTGAGTTTGATCCCCAGTACCAAAAAAAAAAAAAGTGTTACTTACAAATGTCTACTACAGAAATGATAATTATATTAACAGATAATACAAAAGAATAGAGAGCAAAGTGAGTCTCATTAACTCTCTGCCCCTCTTTCCAGAAGCAATGGCTGTTAGGTTTCCTGTGCATCCACTAAATCATCCACACACACACACAGGACACACAGAAAACTGGCAGCATTCTATACACTGTTATTTCCTTTTTCTTGCTTCCACTCAATGATACATCCGGAAGATTTTTCCACGTCACATGTAGAACTGAATTTTATTTTGAATAAGTTCCCTGTTCTTCCACGTAGCATAATTTACTTAAATTTCTATTTTTGTTTCTACTGAAGGGTTGATTTTTACTTTGTGGACAGTATAGAGCCAGTGAAATTTTGCTGTTTTTTAGAACAGTACAAATGAAGTATATAAAAAAGTTATAAAACTGATTAATCTAGCTAGGGTTGTAAAAGAATGGCAAAGTTTTAAAAATTGCCTTACTGTGGGACAATTTTGAGAAGGCTTTTTGGAAATACATACGAAAGCTTTAGAACATACATTCCTTGGGACCAGTAATATCACTCAATGGAATTCAGTTCTACATATTATTCAAGAATATGTACTCAAATATTTACTCACATCGGTAGCAATGCTGTTTGCAACAGCACAAATTCTTTAAAGTAATAAATTATATAAACCCATACGATGGCATATTACAGTGATTATAAATAATGATTATATAAGACATGGAAAAAGATCTTTATATTGCAAGAGGAAATAGGCTTCAGCTTAACATCTTGAATACCTACAGTTAAGCACAAATACTCTACTAGGAAGTTTGAAAGTAGACTTTTTTATAAACCAGAAAAGCAAATATTTTAATTTTGTATTTCTCTAATAAACATATACTACTTCTAAAATTAAAGAAAATTTTAATAAATGTTTTACCTTATTCCTTAGAAGTGTCTCTTTCCTTGAAAAATGAGATAAATGTTGCTTGGAGTTCTGATTACCTTGATTATGAAGTGACTTATTATTACAATCAGACTCCTAGATTGCCAAGATCAAAAATAAAGTAGAATTAGATTTTTTCACTGTGGAATTTTTATGACAACTAACCAATATTCAACAAAATGGAAAATAAGTAAAATGAAAACAATTGGTGTAAATACAATTTCAAGGAAAGAAAATATAAAAACATAGCCTATAATTAATAGAAGAAAATAAATGTCACACGCAAAGGATGATATTCACCAGTTTCACTGAAGATAGTAAGATGATTTAGCTGAAGTAAACTGTTTATATAAAATGTATTTTTGGGGCTGGGGACTTAGTTCTGTGGTTTCGCCATCTGCTGCGCGCAAGGACCCAAGTTTGATCCCCGGTACAAAAAAAAGTAATTTTGAAGGCTTTTCTAAACCATTTGCAGAGCCTGTCAAAATGTTGACTCAGAGAAAACCAGTCTCCTACTGTAACAGTTTTACCCCAACTCTGCTGACTGTTTTCATAAATTATGAGCTACAAAAAGCAGAACCAATGAAGCTCTAGTTCTCTCTGTTTTTTTATTTTTTTGGTACCGGGGATCGAACTCTGGACCTTGTGCTTTCGAGGCAGGCGGCAGAACCAGAGCTAAATCCCCTGCTAGTCCTCTCTTAATTGTGTCACATGTTCAACATTAAAGAGAAGAAAAGCACAATGAAGAAAATTCAGAAAATTTTACATTTTTCCACTTTTGCAAAAGGATGTAGAGATAATTTATTTATTATATAACCCTAATATTCCTTGTTCAGAATTGACAGTAGTGGTGATCCCATTGACTTACCATAAAGATTGTAAGACCCTACGTACTTTGACCTCCAATAGGGTCAGTGACCTCAAAACAAACAGAACCGGGCCTGGGATTTAGCTCAGTGGTTTCCTCGTCTGCTGAGCAAGTGCAAGGACCCCAGTTCGATCCCTGGTACCAAAAAACCAACCAACCAACCAAACAAACAAAAACCAAAAACCAGACAGAACCTATGGCTGTCGCCTTTCACAGTGAACTACCAATAGAAAGCCCCAGTATCGAAACATTTTCTCCAGGAGCATAGGAGGAAAACTGATACTAAAAATAAAGCCTCAAGACATTTTCACTTCCTGGAACATTTTCTAAATCCACGATAAGGTTAACATTCAATTGTTTGAGAATTAATAATCCTAAGAAGAACTTACTATTGGCTTACCAGAGCAATGAGTCAATGAATGGTTCCTAGATTAGTTTATATTTTGGGTGAGGGGGGTTCACATCTCTATGAGAGGTTAGTATAAAAGATGGTGAGCCAGAACAGAAGACAGAGTATGTCTTTTCTTGTGTTGTGCTGGCAGGACTGGCCCAGCCTGTGGGCTGGCAAAGCTTCTCAGGAAAACATGGCCAAAAGCTTGCAAAGTAAATGAAACATGAAGATGCATGCTGAGAAAAGAAACAGGTAAGCCAACACACTTAAACCATCCTCACAAACAGATGTATTTATGAACGATGTTCAAGAGATAGCGGCTGTGGTGGTACCCAGATATCATTAAGAGGAAATGCAGTATGGTGTACAAACAGGGGAAAAAAAAGACACTAACATGGAGAAGTTTATTTAAAGAAACAGAGTCTTCTAAACCAGTAAGAATAAGAAATACAAAGGGAAAAGAAAAGCCAAAATTTCAAAGGTAGCACAAATTTGGCTTGAGATGCTTCTAAAAATCTAGAAGATGCTACAGAAAGCCTCAGGGTTCAAATATATAAATTGATTTCAGCTTTCTCCAAATGAAAACAATTTATTTCCAAATGGTAGCTTGGCTTTTACTTCAGTTCGAATCCAATATAACTTGAAACCAATATAATTTTCTTTTTGATAAATACAAGCTGTACTGATTTATTAAGTGTTGTTCAATATTCAGGAGTATCAGACATTAAAATTTTGTCAAATATTACAGTGGTTACAATTCGTTCAACTTGGTAATATTTGGTAAAGATGGAACCGTGTTATATTGGTAAATTTGAGGTAATGGCATTATGCCGTTTTAAAATATGTCACTGGATCTTATAAGTAGTACTTATTTGGAGGTTTGTTTTTTTTTTTGTACCCGAGATCGAACTCAGGACCTTGCGCTTGTAAGGCAGGCACCGGAACCACTGAGCTAAATCCCCGGCCCTTATCTGGAGTTTTGATTTTAGTCAGATCAAAGCCAGAAGGGCCAGGGATTTAGCTCAGTGGCACTACATCTGCCTCAAAAGCACAAGGTCCCCAGTACCAAAAAAACCAAACAAATAAAACAAAACAAAAATTAAAGCCAGAAATAAAAAATCAAAGTCAGGATAAAAGATATAGAAGAAAAAAGTGGTTAGGCGGTATCCATCATTAAAAATATAATAACATAAAGTCATTTGTGTTAGTATTTTTTCATAAACTAAAGGTTAGCAGAAATAAAAATAAAAACGAAAATGCTTTTAAAGTTCTAAAACTTAAGGCAGACAACAATATATTAGTAGGGCCATTTCTTTATACAGTCTCATATCTGAATTCAAGGTTATACAATATTAAGGATTTACGCAGTAAATTTATAATCATTTTTCATTTCATAGGTTATCATTCTGTGTAGGTGCTAACTGTGCCACAACTCAAGTTCCTATCAATGGAACACATGGGGATTAAGGAAGTATAATCAGTTTAAATGTACAGGAGTTGAAAATACAAAAGATACAGAAAAGTCCTTCAAAATGAATAAAATGTTAACTTCCTACACAGTAGCACTTATAGTAAAATGTTAAGATAGCTGGTCATTTCCATCATGTAGGCAAAATTTCCTCAATTGCCTAACACCTTATTTTCTCTTACATGTAAACTGCAAACAAAGGCTTCCTGATTTGACTCACCTCTGAATCGGAATCCTTACTAGAAGGCTGAGAAAGTTCTGATGCATTTAAACTGTGTGGTGAGAATTCCATACTTTTCTGAGACTGTGAGGACAAATCCATTTCACGTAAGGGCTGAGCTTCATCACCTGACTCATCACTCTTTGACTGAGACATATCAGACATATTAGTGTCTTCAGGCAGAGAGGAAGGGGAACCGCTTTTTCTTTGGAACTGCTGTGACATTGTGCTTGGCTTTGGAGAGGTTCTCAGAGAGTTTGAAAACTCTCTGAGACTTCCAGACCAACTGAAGCAACTTCTTAGTGTCCCCAGAGTGGGTGGTGAAATGGTCCTTGTGAATGTGCCGGTCCTAACAAACTGAGGCTCTTCACCAGCAAACACAGTCACATCATCTGGACTCTCACCACTTGAATTATGTGCTGCCTGTGTATCTACCAGCTTCTTGCCTTCTAGGTCTGGGCAATCTGATTCACTGAGATCAGTCACTTTTTCTCTGACAGCTGTTTCACTTAGAGGCTGGCTGCTTGTCTGCTTTGACACACAGTCAGCGGAATCCAGGGAACTGGAAAAAAACCTAACAAAACCCAAGAAAAATGGATTATTGTATATACAGGATGTCAAAATGGAACAATCATCCAGCATCTTTAAACAGTCTCAAAATAGATTAATTTCATAAAGGCAATATAGATCTTGAAATACAATCAAAGTTTAAATTCTGACTATGATAAAATTCATTCAATTAGAAATTTGCTTATATAGTGAATTGTTAGACAAGACTTTCTAAAAATGGGTCGCCTATATATACACACATGTATTTGGAACTTCTTTAGTATGAAGTTCATTATATAGATGTTCTCTCCTCAAACCCTTTCAGCTCCCAAACAGAAAGAAAGCTCTTCGAGGGCAGGTACTGACCATGACTTTGTACCCTCCATAGTACCTAACATAGCAGCTTCACAGTAGTCAAATATATCAGCAGATATGGAAATATGGGACAGAAATAACAATTTTAACTATTGTCCCATATTTTACAGGAAGCAAAAGAAATTAGCCATTTATCCCATTGACTGATTTTTTTTGGTACTGGGGATCAAACTTGGGTCCTTGCACTTGCGCAGCAGGCGGTGAAACCACTGAGCTAAATCCCCAGCTCAGACTGTTTTTTTTGAAACAGGGTCTTCCTGTATAGTTCAGGCTGGCCTCAAACTCACTATGTAGCTCAGGCTGGCCTTGAACTCATCGTGATCTTCTTGCCTCAGCCTCAGTGCTGGGATTATGGGTGTGTGCCACCATGGGTGGGTGATAAATATTACTGAAGAGATTGCTTCAAAGAAACTTCTGGTTTAAAAAAGAAAATCCCAGAATACCTGATCAGGTAAATATGAAGTTTAAAGAGAATTTAGCTTCCTAGTAAGTACTGATTCAAATCTAAGAACAGATATTTATTAAATGTTGGGGAAACATTTAATACCCCAGATAAACTATGTGGGTACAGGCAGGAAGGGAAAGTCTTCATTAGGCTTTTTATCCAACAGAACACATAAGATCCTAAGATCTGATCACAAACTCACCTTTAAATTCACGGTAATTTCTACGACACCCAACTATTCTCCCATGTATCATTTCATGGGTAAAGAGAATACCCAGGGTTATAAAATTAATCAGCCAGAGAACAGAATTAAAGCCTAGAACCCCTTCCACCTCATGGCTGCTCTTTCCTAATAGCCTATGGTGTTACTTAACTGCTATTTTATTGCTAGACCTCAGGGATAAACTGAAATGTTTCTAGGATAAGCACTGATGTAATAAAAATAATTAAGGCTTAAAACAGGCTTCAAAAAACATAGGTCAGAGACAGTGTTTTGCATGTTAATATATCCTTTCAGTTGCAAGAGAGAGAGAGGGGTGGTAATGAATGCTTGCATGTATGTCAGTGATTGGACACTGTTGCTGTGTTTCATACACAGAGCACCTACTGACCTTCCCCAGGGCCTATGGATATACTTGTCGGGGATTTTATAAAGAAAGGCTAGGGAAGTTGAATGGCATGTGGAAGATCCTCAATTGATAAGATGACAATGAAAATTCAAATCCATGCCTGTCTGACTGTTCCCATCAATGGTGACTACTCTGTCCTATCGCCACACTGGGAAAATTTAACCTTTCAGAGCATCAAATTCTTAACTTGAGATCATGAGAATAACATTAACTCTATGCTACCTCATTGCACTTTTGTAAGGAATAAGAGAACATGTAAAAGAATTCTGAAAACTACTTTTAATAGTTAGCTATTATTAAATGTTGCTATATAGTTCAGGTCAGAAAATTATACATCAAAGACTTACTTCCAACTATTATTTCACAGGAAATTGATGGAGAAAATAATTCTTCCTCCAGGCATCTCTTAATGTCCACCTGAATAGTTTACTAGTGAAACATCCAAATAAGCTATATAAAGCAGCTAAGCACAACCTCAAACTTGGAGATTCCCTTAAGCTTCTTCAGTGACTACACGGTTAAGGCCTGTAGTGACACAGCATTATTCTTAGTCATCTCCAAAGAAGAGATTAACATTAAGCAGCAGAAAGGGCAAGCTCTATTCTCACTCAGGAGGAAAAGAAACCAAGTTCCAAAAATGCTTCCAAATGAAAAAGGTCAACTTTCTGGAATTTTTGGTTCAGCATATATATACCAATGTCCATCTTTCATGATGTATTTTTTCATTATTCCATGTTAATCAAGATCTCTATGAGGTGACTAGCAAAACAAGAATCAAAACAATCATTTAAGGGTATCATATTTTGCCTTGAGAAGACCCGATGAGAGAAGGGTTTCAAACATCACCTAAAGGGAGGCCAAAGGATTACCGGGGCTCATTCCTTCAGATCCACTTCCCAATGTGTGGCCTCATTTATTGAACATGAAAAACAAAAAGCAAAAAGTATTTATTCTAAGTCTTCCAGAAGAACAGAGATGCTGGCAAGTTTTCTTTAAGAGTTACTATATTGTGCCTCGTTAACTTCTCACATTTACATCTCCTCTTGCACACTGTGGTACCTATTGTGGTTTGAATATGTTACTCCAAACTCATCATTAGTGGCTTTATTAGAGGAGAGATCTGAGGTAGCATATGAGCTCTGCCTCACCACGTGAGGCCCTCTACCATCCCATGCTGCAGCAAGGCCCACACCACGTGCTGATGCTACGCCATGCTCTTGGACTTCCCAGGCTCTAGCACTATGAGCCAAATGAACATCTATTCTTTATACATTACTCAGCCTGTGGTATTCGGTTAAAGCAATGTAGTACCACCATTCAAAGCCAATAAAATAAGAACTATCCAATGTGCATTTATCATCTATTATCTGTCTTAGGCAGTTCTCTCAATGACCCTGAGTTGTTACAACTGTTAGCCTTGTGTTTTCTTTTTCTTTTCATTTTTGTAGGCTGGGAGGTAAATGAAGAGAGTAATACTCTATCCAGTAGTCTCCCCCAGCCTATTTCAATGTCCCAAAGTTTAATTAACAGAACAGGGAAGCTTCCTGAACTGAACTCAACACTTTGGAAAGCCCCATTTTAAAAAGAGGAAAGTGAAACACCCAGAAGGTAACTTGCTTAAGTCAAACATCTCATGAATGAACATGGTAAGATAAAAAAACCCAGTGGACTGACTCTGGGGTCTAAATTCCTAATCCCCAAGTTATACTAAAGTGAATCCCCAAGTCGTCATCATTTGCAGGGGTTATGGCAACAGCACAACTGATCTTTTGTGCTCCACCTTAGGCCCTCTCATACCCATTTCCTCTGGGTGTTAAGAATGATCTATCCAAAACAGGAATTGAATCACAGCTCTCCCTTGGTAAAAGCCCTTTACACGTTTTCTATCATCTTTGAAGAAGGCTATAGGCTGGGAGTTTGGCATATGTGACTTCCATGACCTGCTCTCCTAACTCCATCTGTCTTTGCCCAACTTGCATCACAGTAGCAGTGACAGCAATGATCTGCTGCAAGTAGTTGCCCCAGGCTCCATGCTGTTCCCCACCTCCATGCCTTTGCTCAACCTGCTTGACTGTACTGAGAGGAGACCTGGCTCCAGTCTTGGTCTGCTTTACCCTACCATTCATTTAAAGCTCATTAGCGACATTCAACACCCACCCCTTCCCTCTCACCCTTTCAACTGCTGTCGCAGAAGGAGATGCTGCCTTAGTGCCCTCAAAACACTGTACATGCCTTAATCACTATACTTACTGCACTAAATGGAAAAATTGCTCATGTACTGACTTTTCCAACTGGACTGCAAGTATTCCAAAAATAAAAACTATGTTTTTCTACCAAATAGTTTCTCTAGTGTGAGAAACTGAAAGTGTAAATAAGGACTAAAAGGTATAATAGATAATGTGAAATAGGAAAAGGGGCAAAGGGGA